CAGTTGTTGGTAGAAACTTTATTGGCTGTTGAGCTTAGTGAAAATACAGAAGACGAACAGACAGGACCTGGTAACCAAGAAAGTGAGACACCAGAAGGGCCAAGAAGCACAGAAAGGTCTTCTCCATCTTTGTTTCTCAGAAAGACTCCTCCTGGCACTGGGGATGAACTATTAGATGTTTTAGAAGCAATTGGTCAAGAGTGCAACGACCTTAGAAAGGAATTGTCTGAATCAAAAAATAGAGAAATTAGTCTGGAGAAGGAATTATTGAACTACAGTATTACAACAAGGTCATCCACAGAAGATGATAAAGTCATTTCAAAACTGGTGCAAGAACTTGAAATGCTAAGGGGAGAAAACCGAAGACTGTACAGAGAAGCAGCTAATGCCAAGAATTCTAACTCGCATGATAGGAAGAGTGTAGAGGCTCTGCAGAGAACAGTGGAGCGGCTTCAGAACCAAGTGGATCAACTTAATTCTGAAAATTTTGCATTTAAATTTAAGCAAAGATTGAAGGAAGTGCACACAGAAAAGTTGCAAAGTGCAACAAGAGACCAGATTCAAGACGATCTATCATCATCAAAAGAAGGCAGTCCGCAATCTGAGGACTTGGATGGTAGTAGACACATAGAAGGTCTTCCAGACACAACAAATATCAGAGAACTGAAACAACATCTAGCTAGTGCAAAATATGAAACAGAAATGCTAAGAAATAAATTAGACAGCACAAACTCTGACATGACTTCAAAACTAAATCAAACTTTTGAAGATTTGAAAACAACCAAACATGAGAGTCAAAGACTGGAGCAAGAAAACAAGTTGTTAAAAATGGCTTCTGAAACTAATAAATCAGAGATTGTTTCATTGTCAGTCAAATGTGAACATCTACAAAATGCATTGATTGAAGCTGAGCAAAGAAATAACAGAGTGAGTGCACAACTGAGTGAACTACAAACTGAGTTTGGATGCGATCCTGACTCAACACCGAGAAGAATAAAACGAGAAAATGCTATTTTGAAGGAAAAACTACAAATTGCAGAAGAAGATCGAGAAATTCTGAAACAAGAGTTAAAGAACTATCGATTGACTCAGTCAATCTTAGGAATGTCAAACTCCTATCAGCAGAGATATATGGGTTCAACTGGTCTGGTTCCCATGGAAACCACAAATAGGGAAAAAGAATCATTTCACAATGCAAGAAATGAAACTGATATAGACTATATGTCTGTTGGGAAAGATGTTCATAGAAGAAGTCATACTATTGGAGGATCTGTTACCGCAGATACTAGAAAATGGGCTGAGCCACATACAAGGCAATCTGCATCCGAATCAAGGCAAAAAATACGATCTAGA